CCATCCCTGTTTCCCTCCCCCCTTTACCCCTCCCCCTTCCCCTCCCCCTGCCCCTCCCCTTTCCCCACCCCTCTTTCCCTTCTCTCTTCCCCTCCCCGTTCCCCTCTTTCCCCCTCCCCTTTCCTCTACCCCTCCCCTGCCCCCCACTGACCGCGTTGTGGCTGCCAGTGAACTCGACATCAACGTAGAGCTTGATGAGGTTGGGCGCCAGGTGCCGCATGGCCAAGGGGTGCCCCTCAAACAGCGACGCCATCGATGCTGCCACCGTGGGCGTCGGACTGGAGAGATGCGGCGGGGGCCGGGAAGGGGGCGGGGGGGGAGAGATGGGTGGAAAGAACGTGGGCAGGAGTGGGTGGTGGAAAGACGGGGGAAAGTGGGTGGCGGGGAGAGAAGAGTTCCAGGAGTGGTAAACGACTGGCGGAGTGGAGCAGGAATGGACAACGAGGGAAGAATGGGTGGTGGCTAGGCCAGACACTGGACAAGTGCATGGTCACACACACAGCAAGATGGGAACTCTGAAGTGCGCATAAGATGTGTGTGCGGTGAGAAATTCCATCCGAGCCCTCTAAAGCTGAGAACGAATGCGATAGTACAGAGGAGCAGCGAGCAGCAGAGGGGAGCAGCAAGGAGCGCGCACCTGTGCGAGGGCATCCAGTGCTGCAGCACTTTGACCATCTTGGCACGCAGGTAGGGGTTCTTGATGTAGAGCGGCGAACCCATGAACATCACTATGAAGCTCATAAACTCGTCCTGCCCCGTGCCGCACGTGCACGCGTGGTGGGCAGTGGAGGAAGGGAGGAAGCATGAAGGGAGAAGCGGAAGTGAAGGGGGGACGGGGAACGGGAAAGTGGGGAAGGGGAAGGGAGGAGTAGGGAAAGGGGAAGGGGGCAGAAGGAGAAGGGGGAGAGGAGGCACTAGAGGATGAGTGGTCGGCTGGCACAAGCCATGACCTCACGTCACTCATCGCAAACCCCTCCTTTCAGGGCTTGGGCGTTGGGCTTGGGCGACTATAAAGTCATTTCAGAATGCATCCTTCTGGGAACACCGCGGGCGGGATAACATTCACACGCCCATGAAAACAGAGATGGATGGACAGCAAGAGACATGCAGCTGCACGCTCACATCTCTACCATCTAAACTTCACCGATCCAACCAATTGCACCCACAACCATCAAGCGCCCATCCCATCCCATCCCATCTCCACGCACGAGTCTCAAGCCATCCAGGGCATGTGGGATGCGCGAGGCGAGCAGCAGAGTCTCGATAGCATCATCCACAAAGTGCTCGGGCATGGACGCCCAGTCCTTGGGCGCCGGCGCAGGCAGCGGCAGGTGGAAGCCCCCCACAAAGCGCACCAGCCACACCACCATCATGTGGTAGAACCGCACTGCCTCCTGCAGTACCTCGGGGTCCTGGTGGGTGGGAGGAAGGGTGAGAGGGATGGGATGGGATGGGATGGGATGGGATGGGAGGTGAACTTTGGGTCGACTTAAGAGCCACAGCACCATGAGGTGGTAGAGCCACAGCACCATGAGGTGGTAGAGCCACAGCACCATGAGGTGGTAGAGCCACAATGCCTCCTGCCGTACCTCGGGGTCCTGGTGGGTGGGTGGGCGGTGTGGAGAGGGTGTGGGGAGTGATTTTTTAGTCGACACTAAAAAGACACCTGGCATTGGCAGGAGCTGCTTCTGGAGTAGAGCCTGTAGGGACTGGCGGGGACGGATGGAGTGCAGGGAGTGTGGGGAGTGTTGCAGCGATTAAGAGCGTGTGGGGGGACAGGGATCGAGGGAAACCTGGCATTGGCAGGAGCTGCTTCTGAAGTAGGGCCTGTAGGGACTGGCGGGACGGGTGG